GGTATTGGAACAGGCAAGCTTGATAACTTGAGCAAGTTCACAGAAGAAATGAGGAATTTCCAAGTGTTTACAGAAGGACAATTTCAAAAGCATTAGACTATGGACATGGGCATTCACAATACTAGTGATCAAAGAGAATATAACCAGCATGCCACAGAGACGAGGGTTTATAATGACTGTGTATCTCAGTGGGCAACAAATGGCCACATATCGGTCATAGGCCATTATTGCAAGAAGAAAGTTTTCAAAACCTCCAAACACGAGGACAGCACACGCCTGTATGAGGCAGCCAATGTAAGTGATAGACTGTTTTTGTGTCTGGATGTTCAGCAGCATCTTTGGGATTACAGTTGTACTTAAACCTATGTCAGAAAATGACAGATTGGAAAGAAAGAAATACATGGGTGTGTGGAGGTGGGAGTCAGAGCTGATAGCAAGGACGATGAGTAGGTTTCCTAGGATGATGACCAGGTACATGAACAGAAAGATGTTGTAGAGGAGAGGCTGCATTTCTGGATCTGTTGTCAGTCCTAGGAGAAAGAATTCTGAAACACCTGTTTGGTTTCTTTGTTCCATTTTGTTGATGAAACTGATGGAAAGAATGGGTGAGAAGATAATCAAATGTTTAGTTGCATTACTCAGGAAAACACCACATTGAAAAGAAAGAAGAAGTATTTGGAAATATTATGTCCTTTGGCTGCATGCTATCCTTATTTAAAAGACAAGAATCTGTAATAACTACATGCAAATATTATGCTGGAATGGAGTGTCAGGCTGGTCTTATTATGATTATTTAAAAAATTATACCAGCTCAACTCTTATGATCATATAAAATGTTTTAAGTTTTATTAAATAAAATAGATGGATCAGGGTAGTAATGCAATGTGTCTTTTTCAGACTCCATGTTTTTTCTTGATCAAAGCTGCACACAGACATAATATAATGTGTGTTAAAAAGCAGAAATTAGATAAAACTGGTAAATCCTCCTTCCTTTCCACCACAGAAATGCAAGTAAATATTAGAGAATTCTGTAGTAGTCATTATCATAGGTGAGAAAGGGCAAATATCTGCTGTGGAGGGCATTGGTCCCTGTCTTTGAGGTGACAGAGTGATTGGTGGAATTAGAGCTCTTTGAGACTGATTTGTAGATCAAAGGGAACTCGTCAGGAAGATGGAAGACAGTTTGGTATGAGTCTATGGAAAATTGGCTCCAATCATTTAATGCATGTGCTCTCACCCTTAATTCTGTGAGATCAGGTGGACTTGAATAGCATAAATTAATACAGTAACTATAAAAACGAGCAAGAATGGATTCACACATAACAATGATTTTAAGGATTGCACAAGCTCAGGCAATTTTTCATTCTGTTGTATTTTGTGTCATTATGAGTCCAAACCAATTCTATGGCTCCTAACAACAGCAGCAGCAATTCTTGTTACCACTTTCCCTGGATGAACCTGTAGTGAAACCCATTCTTCATTAAGGTACATTATATAAGGGAGTCTAGGTTACCTGGCTGGCATTCCCGAGTAATGATGCTTGACATATGTCCTTGATGTTGAATGATGTAGTTAGAAGATCTGTCCTCAGAAGAGGTTGAGAAACCAAGTGAGGATCTAGGCTCCTGGGGAAAAGGATCATCTGCAGGAGGAGTTGAGGTGCACTCTTTCTTGTGTGAACAAAGGCTACTGAGTGAGGGTGTCAAGGGCAGATATTTTGCAGTCCATGTATCTCTGGGGGCTCAATATCCAAAGCTCCTAATTAGCCAAATTATTTATTGTCGTCTTGATCGAAGGACAATGCAACTCCTTAATGACCAAGACAATTGTTGTTAAGTGCCATCAAGCAACCATATACACAACATAACAAAACCCTATCCTGTCCCATTCTCACATTCTTTGTTAAACTTGAGTCCATTGCTGCTGCCCATGATCCAATCCATCTCATTGGGGGTCCTCCCCTTTTTTGCTAACGCTCCACTATAGCAAGCACGATTTCCTTCTGGGACTGGTCCTTCCTGAAATATGTCTAAGGTATAAGAAAATAAATTCTGGCCTTCTTGGTTTCTTAGGGTTAGGTTTAAGATTCTGAACATACTATTTTTTTTAAAAAAATATATGTTGTTGTTGTTAGGTGCCATCAAGTTAGTACTGACTCATAGTCACCTTGTGCACAACACAACGAAACACTGCCCAATCCTGGGCCAACCTCACTATCCTTGCCACGCTTGAGTCCATTGATGGTGCCATTTTGCCAATCCATCTCCTTGGGGGGTCTTCCTCTTTTTCTCTGAATCTCTACCTTACCAACATGATCACCTTCTCTAGCAACTGGTCTCTCCTGACAATAGTCTGAAGTATAACAGACAAAATTTGGCCATCTTGGCATCCAATGAGCACTTTAGCTGCACTTCTTCCAAAACGGTTCTATTGGTTCTTTTGGCAGACCATGGCACTTTTAATATTCTCCTCCAACACAATAACTCAAAAGCATCAATTCTTCTACTATCCAGCTTTTGCATGCATATGAGGTGATTGAAAACAGCTTAGCTTGGTTCAGGAACACCTTAGTCCTCAAGCTTACATCTTTGCTTTTTTACACTTTAAAAAGGTCTTGTACAGCAGATTTGCTTAATGCAATACGTCATTTGATTTCTTGACTGTTGCTTCCGTGAGTGTTGATGGTTGATCCAAGAACAATGAAGTATTTGACAACCTCAATCTCTTCTCCATTTATAAGAATGTTGTTTATTGGCCAATGGTGAGGATTTTTGTTTTCTTGACATTGAAATGCAATCCATACCATAGGCTGTGCTCTTTTATCTTCGTCAGTATATGTCCTAAGTCCTCTTCACTTTCAACAAGTTTGTATCATCTGCATATCACAGAATGTTAAAGAGTCTCCCTCTAATCCTGATGCCACATTTTCTTCATAAAACACAACTTCTCAGATTATTTGCTCAGCATACAGGTTGAATAAGTATGGTTAAAGAACACAACCTGAAGCTGAAGAAAATGAAAACAAGTCCACAAGAGCCAAAATATGACCTTGAATATATCCCACCTCTATTTAGAGATCATCTGAAGAACATATTTCATACATTAAACACTAAAGACCGAAGAGCAGAAGAGTTGTGGGATGACATCAAGAACATCATACAGGAAGTAAGCAAAAAGTCATTGAAAAGACAAGAAAGAAGGAAAAGGTCAAAATGGATGTCAGAAGAGAC